ACTGCACACCAGTGCACAGAGCATGGTCCATAAAGACATGGATGAGGGAGTCTGGGGTGGAGGAACCTGACTGGCCTGCAGAGAGTCCTGACCTCAACCCAATAGAACACCTTTGGGATGAATTAGAGGGGAGACTGCGAGCCAGTGCCATACCTCACAAATGCACTTCTGGAAGAATGGTCAAACATTCCCATAAACACACTTCTAAACTTTGTAGACAGCCTTCCCAGAACAGTTGAAGCTGTTATAGCTGCAAAGTGTGCCAACTCAATTGAACCCTACAGACTAAGACTGGGATGCCATTAAAGTTAATGTGCGTGTAAAGGCAGGCATCCCAATACTTTTGGCAATATAGTGTACTCGCAGCCAGTTTAGCAATTCCACCAGAATCTCCCCTACTAACACAACCGCTCACAACCGCTTGGGACAAATCACAGCCTAGGAAGCTGCAGGACCATTCACAAAGTGCAGAGCGACCTGCTCATTAACAGTGGGAAGCCAGCTGTGAAGCTGCAAGGAATCACAGCTGGCTTCCCACAGTTGTGATGCCGGGGACCCGAAGACTGGTGAAGAACCTGCCCAGGTGAGGACGGCACTGGAGTCCTGGACTTTTAATTTAATTATTTTTTATGTGACTGAACATCCTCTTTAAGTTCCACAAAGTTCTCTGTAATTATGTGTATCATTTCATCTGGCTAATTACATAAACATATTACTATATGAGAGTTCAGGCGCATTCGTATTGTTTGGAAATACTATTGTAATGATCATAATAACTTAAAAACAAATGAGTTAGGCTTGTAACGTTGTTAATAAGCATATCAGCTTTCTAATGACATAAAAGTCAAATATTTACATCCACCCTGATAAAAATCTACATATGAAACATGTAACAACCAATTTACACAATCTCAACAGGAAAACTGGCTCCTGTTTATACTACATTCACAGTCGCAAAAAACCTGCTGCTCAGGTTATCTCATAAGGACACGCTGCACGGAGCGCAATTTATGCAGCCTGCAGGAATCACCACACTATAGGTGGATGTATTCCATAGCTAATTTACAATGAACTGCTTTCCTAATTTGTATTGACTTATTTTTTAAAGTCTTGCAAAGAGCTATGATACAATTCAACATGCAGAACTCTTAGCAACCAATCAGAAATAATTTTCTCTACTGAGCTTACGCAAACTGAATTGCAATGCATTGCATATCATTGCTGCTCTATACGCTATGTCATTTAAAATGCCTTCTCATGCTTCAGTGAGGAATTATGGAGAGGCAATTAGGGCTTGTTCAGAGTCTAACAAGTACGCCCTATTGCACACTGTTTTGTGCATTAACGCACATTGTGTTAGACAGCTGACAACACACCTCAATGCACAGAAAATAGATCTGGCACCATTTTTAACAGCACACGATAACAGGAAGAACATTTGTTTCTGTGGATTGTGGTGTGCAGGTGTGCTATACTGTACTATAGGGTATATGTGCTTTGGGGTGCAATAAAACATGAATTGCAACATGTGGCAACGTACATGTACAGTACATTTACATTATTAAACATATTCAAAAAATACATTGCAGTCAACAAGGTAAAACTAATAATTGTTATGATTGAATGATTGCTCAATTCTCCTTACATTCTTTGCACATGCCCCATGGGGTGGATTTACAAAAGACAAATAGACTGTGCACTTTGCAAGCGCACTTGCACTCATTTTCACCAGTCCTTAGTGAATGAAACGAAGCTTCACTTTATAAAGAATACCCAATCAGATGCAAGGAAATTTTTAAAAAAAATGATTTTTTTTTGCTTGCACATGATTGGATGATGGAGACCAGCAGAGTTTTACCATATTTACTAAGCTCTAGGGAAAATGAGTGCAACTGCACTTGCAAAGTGCTTTGCCTATTTGCCTTCAGTAAATCTATCCCTATGTATCCATTCCTGGTGTATAAATGTACCCGGGAGAAACAGTTGGAGCTTCGAGCCTAGCTGCCTGCAGACTGTCAAATACTGTGAAATACGCTGTAGCAGAATGGAGGGGAATGCTTTGCCAAGTTGTTTTCAAGTTTCGGGTCTTATGTGACTAGAGCTGTATACCAAGAACACAGGTATTCTGCACCCCAGACATACTGTATACCTCTCAATGCACAGGGTCCTAGCTGGGACACAGATAGCAAAAAAAAATCCAGTGATTATTAAAAACCAATAGAAAGCTCTATCTCTCTAAAAGTAAATTAATTTGGGTACAGTGTTGCATGACCGAGTAATTGTCAGTCAAAATATCACAGTACTAAAAACTGAAAAATGGCCTGAACAGGAAGGGGTATTACAGGTTGGTACTCAGCTGGTTAAAAATAGATAATTTATAGAGCTTGGAAGGCAGCTCAAGGTGCAAAAAAAGTGAAAATGTACCATTTTCCGGCGTATAAGATGACTTTTTACCCCTTGAAAATCTCAAAAGTCCCGGGTCGTCTTATATGCCGGTATACAGCATACTGACACTTTTTAGGGGGGCAGCGCGGTGCCGCCGCCGCCCCCCCTTCCAACGGAAGGGACACTAAGTACAGGGGTGGGCAGGGGCTGTCTCTTACCTGGCTCCGGTCCCACGACGATCCAGTCCAAGAAGTGCGGCTGCTCCTTCAGTTCGGCCACTGGATGTTCGCGGGCTGCTCGGCTCCGCCTCCTCACCGGTGATTGGCCGCCAGAACTGTAGCTCAGGAAAGGCACACAGGCAGCTAATCACCGGCGAGGGGGCGGAGCTGAGCGGCCCCACGAAAATCGAGTGCAGGAGCAGCAGGTAAGTGTTCAGTGTAGAGGTGCTGCTGCAACCACATATGCTGGCTGCAGCAGCACCATACTAGAACAGGGTCAGCAAGTGTAATTGGTGTCAGTGGGAGGAATAGTGCCCCATCATTGGTGTCACTGATACCAATGATGGAGCACTATTCCTCCCACTGACACCAATGATGGGGCACTATTCCTCCCACTGACACCAACGATGGGGCACTAATCCTCCCCCCCACTGACACCAATGATGGGGCACTATTCCCCCCCCCCACTGACACCAATGATGGGGCACTATTCCACCCCCCACTGACACCAATGATGGGGAACTATTCCACCCCCCACTGACACCAATGATGGGACACCATTCCTCCCACTGACACCAATGTTGGGACACTATTCCTCCCACTGACACCAATGATGGGGCACTATTCCCCCCACTGATACTAATGATGGGGCACTATTCCTGCCACTGATACCAATGATGGGGCACTATTCCTGCCACTGATACCAATGATGGGGCACCTATTCCCCCCTCTGATACTAATGATGGGGCACTATTCCTGCCACTAATGCCAATGATGGAGCACTATTCCTGCCACTAATACCAATGATGGGGCACTATTCCTCCCACTGACACCGATGATGGGGCACTATTCCTCCCACTGGTGTGCATTGGAAGAGGGGTAGTCTTATACGGCGAGTATAGCTCAAACCCTATATTTTAACAGGAAAAGTAGGGGGTCGTCTTTTACGCCCAGTCGTCTTATACGCCGGCAAATACGGTAATAGTAAAAAGAAAGAGAGAGAGGAAGATCATACTGCAGAAACAAACTGCAATCCAGCCAAGGATTGGTGATCTGCTCATGCTGAGAGCCTAATTAGAGAATGGCAGTTGCACAATACTATCAATGTCTAATAAGACTGAACGTATCAAAAGAACATTTGCTGCTGTTTCCTTTTCCAATTGCAGCTTTCATTTTCATTTTATGATTTAGCTTTTTGTTTATGGGTTTCCTCTCATTGAGGTAATTGGTATTTGTATGTACAGTTTATAGGATGACTTGACACATTTTAAATTATAATAGGATGATTTGCATCCCGCAGATGTGAATCTCTGCACTGAATGGAAGCGTAGCTGTAAATATTCCAATTAAAATTATATCATTAGTATTTCCGAGATGTCTTGAACATTCACCTGAGCCAGACAGTTTTTTTTTTTCCTGACAAGATAAATTAAAAAAATAAGTCACTCACAAAAGCTGCTGGGAACAGAAATACAGAACATGATCTATCTACAACTTGTTTCAGTAAATTTTGCATCAGTTCTGTTAGGGGACCAGGCATCAAACACAAGCCTAGGGTCTGCTAAACCTTTATTCTTATTATTGTTACCTTCATTCATATAGTGACAGCAGTCTAGAGAATGTGGGGTGAAAGTACAATATATTGACAAGCTAATCTTTTTATAAATTTGCCCCTTAGGCTAATAGTATTATACCTGTCCTGGCTTAATTATGAAATAATTATATTTTCCCCTTTATTTACATTATTCATATATGAGCATATTTCCACTTTTATAATCAAATTTTAGAAAACCCCACTATATGTTTGTTATGCATCACATAGCATGCTTTAACCACTAGCCTACTGGGCACTTATACCCCCTTCCTGCCCAGGCCAATTTCCAGCTTTCAGCACTGTGTCGTACTTTGAATGACAATTGCGCGGTCATGCAACACTGTACCCATATGAAATTGTTATCATTTTTTTGAGACAGATAGAGCTTTCTTTTGGTGGTATTTAATCACCTCTGGGATTTTTATTTTTTCTTAAACCAAAAACCACAGAAAATTTTGAAAAAAAAAAGTTTTTTTCTTAGTTTTTGTTATACAATTTTGTAAATAAGTGATTTTTCTCCTTCATTGATGTGCGCTAATGAGGCTGCAGTGATGGGCACTGATAGGTGGCACTGATTAGGAGGCACTGGTAGGTTGCACTGATGGGCATTGATGGGCATCACTGATACAGGGCACTGATAGGCAGCACTGACAGGCACTGATAGGCGGCACTGGCTGGCACTGTTAGGCAGCACTGACTGGCACTGTTGGGCGGCACTGGCTGGCACTGATAGGCAGCACTGACTGGCACTGATGCTCACTGATGGGCATCACTGACTGGCACTGATAGGTGGCACTGATTGGCATTGATAGGTGGCACTGACTGGCACTGATGGGTGACATTGAAAGGCAGCTCAGATGGGCACTGATATGTGGCATTGATGTGCACTGATATGTGGCATTGATGTGGCACTGATGGGCACTGGCATGTGGCACTGATGAGCACTGACTGCTGGTACTGATGGACACTGACAGGTGGCACTTCTGGGGCCACACTGATCATCAGCGCACATTGATCATCAGTGCCCTGATGATCAGTGTACATGTCCCCTCTGCGGAAAGCCGATTACCGGCTCTCCTCTCCTCTCGAGCTGTCAGCGTGACCGCTCGAGAGGAGAGAAATGCCGATAACCGGCATTTCCGTGTTTACATGTGATGAGCTGTGATTGGACACAGCTGATCACATGACCGAGCCGACATCTTCGGCTCTTTCCATGATCCGCTGTGTCCGAGGGACACAGTGCACCGGCGAGAATAGAGTCAGGACGTCATATGACGTCCTATCAGAACGAGAGAACCACCTTGCGCCTGTCATTGTACTATAGGGCGGGCGGAAGGTGGTTAAAAAAGAATTAAAAATATTTCTTATCTTTTAGATGTTTTTCAGGAGGAGGTGTCATGGCTGAATGCAAAGTTTGTTAGAGTGAGCCTGTCTCAAGTCTGTCCTCATTAACAAGAAGCCTAGCTCCTAAATCGTTAACCCATTGCTAGCACAGACAGTGTTCAAATCTAGTTGCAACTAATAATGAAAATCTTCCTGTACAATAGAGACAAGGTTATTAATGGCAAACACAGCTGCCCAGCCCCCTCATAAACAAAGAGAACTATGTAGGATTTTTCATTGCTGTAGTGTCCAAAATAGAGCAACTAAAAAGGTAAGATGCAATTTTTGTTTAATTATGCTATGTGAATGAGGACATGTAGCAAATATAAGTAGGTGTTGTCTCAATTTGGCTACCTGTCAGCTACCCGTTCTCAGAAACTGCCTCCTGGTGCACAACATCAGCAATCAGAGCCACACATTTGTTCACATTCCTTAAAACAGGGCTCTCTTATTTGAGGCTGTTGTGCATACTCAGATGCTGGGAGGCAGTGTGTGAGGTCAAGCAGTTGATATCTCATGTGACCTCTGACCCCCTAACTCAGACGCAAAGCAAACAAAACAAAAATGGCAGCAAATAAAGGCTTACAATTACAACATAAAATCCACAATAGTGTATCAGTGCTCACTGAACTGTATCTGTAAAAGAGCAGTATTTTTCCACCCTAGTCTGCTCCTCATTTGGCGTAAAGGCATCTCCTTCTCCCCTCATCTCCATTACATAGAAGGGAGTAGTTAACAGAAGATAGCTGGGAAGTCTGATAACATTATTACTGTTTAGTACATAGAAAGGACACAAGATTTCTGGCAGGATATGCAGGTATTTTTTGCTGTACTTGTCAAAAATGTACTTAACGTGAAAACGAATGAAGCCACCACATTTAGGAACCGATAAGATGCTATCTATGGCTGTTCCCATTCGTGAGGATTTGATCTAGTGATTAACTCCTCCTAAATGGGATTGCTGGAAAAGCCGCGGATGAGTCCGACTCTGAATACATTAGTTCAGCAGGGAGGATTTCCCCATCTACAACAAATGTGTGGACAGGGCAATCCGGTCAGTTTTTGTTTTTATCCCACTTGCTGAATAAACTGAATAATGTATGGCCAGCTTTAAATCTTCCCAGACCATAGCAATGAGGCACCTCTCATAAAACATCAGGCTGGTACTGGCATCAGTCTTTTCCCAGAGGTTGTGTGGGAATGCTTCAGCGTAGTCAGGGACAGGCCAAGGGGTAGGTTGAAGAGGTGGCTGCCTTGGGTGCTTCAACAGGAGGGGGCACAAAAAGTGCTAGGCTTGCAACCTATGCTACTGAATGAGTACACAGTTCATGAGTGTAGGGGTACACTTTTGCCTATTCGCTTTGGGTGCTAAAGGACCTTATTTTTGTACTGAGAGCAGGGGCGTATCTACAATGTGGCAAACAAGGCATCTTACAGGGGGCCCGCGCCGCCCCCTAGGCAGAAGGGACATGCATTGATGTGAGCGGCAGGGCAGCCATGGAGGGGGACAGCTGACACACAAGTAGAGAGGAGGGCAGGGTGGTGGGCAGATACTCAATGTGTGCAGAGAGCGGTTGGGTCCCGCTGTCAGGCAGGCTTCGGTCAGGATTTGCAGTGTGCACCGGGCTGTGTGGGCTGTATGGAGTGGGTGAGGCCAGGGGTGCCAACAGAAGGCCTATAGAGAAGGAGGAAGAAGAGGAAGAGGTCTTTTCTGGAGGAGCCCCCCACTCTTTTTTGCAGCTGCCACCGGAGATCCTGGTGGAGATGGGACAGAGGCTCAGCTGCCACTCCTCGCACCAGATCCTGACACCATCAAGGGGAGGAGCAGCTGCTGAACAGGTAAGAGCGTGGAGGACTGGTGCTTCCCCACTCCTGTCACACTGCCCCCCATCATGCTGCCCGCCTCCTATCCCTCTGCCCCCCACCCCCACTGCTCCCCTCCTTTCCTGCTGCTTCAACCATGGGTTGAAGGAACAAAAATTGCTAAAATCCTCCATTAACATATTCAGTGTTGATGGGGGAATCCCTCCTATTGTGCTATTGTATTGTGACAGCGGGAGGTTTCCTTCCATTAGAATACATTGATTAATAATGCAAGCTTTAGTCAGTGGCAGTAATCATATAAATAAGAACCCGACAGGGTGATTGTACTAAGAGTAGATTGATAGATTGACTTCAGTACAACCAGCCTACCCACAGATGGATTGAAATTTGGCAATCTATGACCAGCTTTAGTTAGTTTTGCTAGACAGCTTTGCCTGCATTAAAATGTGTGAAAATGTGTGAAACATAAACAAAGACATATAAAATAAAATAAAGTAACTCTTATACTGAATATTGTCATTACACATATTACCACATATTACTACCAAGTACAAAATTCACAATGATAGTATTTCTTTAACGTGTTACCAAACCCACAACAGTAAAATCAGTCTGTATATGCAGTAAAGCATGCTTGTTCTAAGCACTGTGGAACCTAAGGGGTTAATCCTCTACATTGTTCTCTTCTTCATTCTTCTCTGTTCCTTCTCTTATTTAAGCAACCACATCTTAACTCTTGATAACACAGACTGAACAGTAAGCATTTTGCACATGTTCAGTTTGGTGTGTATTGCTAGAGAGTTTTTTTTTTTTCTTGGGAGAGTGCATTTGATCAGCACAGGACCAATCCACACTGTCCAGACAGAGGTCAGGGGTTTTGCATCCTCCTAGAGCAGAAAGAAAACTCCTCCTACGAGCTTTAGCTAGTGCTTGGCTGGACACTGATAGAAGCCACAAGACTGTTCTAACTGCTGATGAGAAATGGTATTTAGCAGTTTATATTTACTAAAATAATTGCTCTTCCATGTTTACTAACTAAAACTACTGAAATAAATTGGCATAGTTAATAAAAAAATATATGTATGTATTTCATTGATTTCATATACCGTAGTTCTAATACATTTCAAAGTAGTTCAATGTAAAGTCGCACTACATGATTAGGTGCAAAAATGATTCATATCAATCTGTTGTTGAGCCTGTACCTGCAGAATACACATTAAGGTGTAAACATTTAAAAAATACACAACAAAAGCACTTCAAAACAAGTCCTCATTCAGAGAAATGTATCCTTAAATTTCACAACCAATGCTTTAAGATTACAGCTTATTTTCTATTTATTTTATACAGAAGCAGAGTCTTGGAAGCCTGCCAACCTCTAACAAATGCCTGGTGCTTGTAAGCTTCTAGAAACTGACAGAAACCAGACTTTACAGTCTCTGTTGTAATCTTTAAGGATGAATTACTTCAGAGTACAAGCAGCCGGAGAGGTCAGTAATGGCTTGTTTTAAAGCTCTTTTACGGTTCTTTAAGAACATGTAAGTATATTCAATTCTAGTGTTGGCACAGGTGCACTTTAAAGTCAAATGTCCCTCCTAAGTTATACAAAATCATACTTGGCACTAAAGAAAGACTACAGAAAACAAATAAACACCATAATTAGTCAGCATCTCTGGTGGAAATTAATATAGAACTCCAGTACTGCTAGGTCGGGGTACTGTAAATAATTAATTTACTGATCATGTGTGCATTCTGAACATCTCCTGCTGCTTGATTAATCCTTCATCGGCTATCAGATCACCAGTCATCAGGGGGACCCTCTGACAAGAGGAAGTAAATCTGTGCTTCCTACCAAGATGGCAAACGCTACACAGAGACATATGGTAAGTCAGTAACAGGAAAAAGATCATCTTCAGGGAGACCATATACAATAGTCAAAGTTACAGTCCTCTGGCCTCTGCCTGAATTTTTTGGGAGCTCAGCTTCCATGGTTTAGGTCCTCTTTGTGCGTTTCGGCCAACATGTGATAAAAAAGTTTTACAATTTTTCATAGATTTCATAGACCTTTTTTAGAGCCTTCCTATGTAAACTCACCATTGGCTCCTTAATAAAAGTGTTCACAAACACTGAAATATTTTGAGAGGCCAAATTTCCAACACTGGAGCTAAAGATGATATATACCCAGTGCTTCTAGATGTGCAATAATATGATTTGTAGACCATTTCTGGTAGTTCAACTAGTACACTTTGGTGTTTTACATACATAAAAAGGGTGTCAGAAGAAAAGACGAGGAAGCCCGGGCAAATGCGCCAATGCTCAATATGGCCTCGCAAATTTGTGCAAAAATGTACGCATGTGCATAGGCGAGCGGCACGTAATCGCGCATTCCTGTGCGAGAAAGCGCACTGGCGCATGCAGGGTGCAATCATTGCTGACACTTAGTGGCCTTTATAAGGACTGCTGCTCTGCTCAATAATTGCTTGATTATCGTCAGCCCACTGTTCCTGTGTCCCTGTGTATACTCCCTGTGATTACCCGTTACCGACCCGGCTTGACCCTGACCTTCCTTTGGCTCTCTTCCTGGCTCTCTACCCCGGCTTGACCGTGACCTTGCTTTGGCTTTCTTCCTAGCTCTCTAGCCTGGCTTGATCCTGACCTTGCTTTGGCTCTCTTCCTGGCTCTCTACCCCAGCTTGATCCTGACCTTGCTCCTGTCTGCGGCTCTGTGTATGACCTTGGCTTGATCCTGACCTTTCTCCTGTCTGCTGTTCCGTACGGATCCTGGCTCTGGCTACTGACTACTCTACTCATACTTTGGGATCCGTGTCCTCTGAAGAAACTCCTCCTGCCTCGAGCACCCACAGGTTCCGTCTCATCAGGCATCACCAATCAGCTATACCACTGGCAACTCGTGCTTCTTTGGGCATTGCACCTCCTGTTACCACCTCCAGGGGTGCACTGCACTT